GACTTAGTGCAGCAAAAATAAGATCTACTCAGTCAAGTCTAGAACGCAATGCAGTCACCAATGGGCGAGATAGCCACAAAGAAAAAATCCGTGTTTGTTCAAGCAAACTCCAATTCCGGCCAAGGTCACGTTTTACACTATATCACGAGCTTTTGTGTCGTTTTTAGGCTGTCAACACTTTACTTCTGATTGGCTGGGAAAACTGAAACCAAACAAGTTGTCAACAGGATGTCAAAATGAGTTGAAGGGGGCGGCAGTTGAAAAGGCCACGAATCCGGGCAGGCGGTTTTTATTTTTCTCGCGGCTTCGCCGCTCGTTCTCGCGCGCTTCGCGCGCGAATTTCGCGGCTACGCCGCTCCTGCGCCCGGCTCGACAAAACCGCCATGCTACGCAGGCTATTATGGGCGTAGAATTATAGAATGGAGCATGAGATACATATTGCGTTCAATAAATTATTCAAAGGTTATGCCGAAAAAAATCGTAAGTAGTCGTAAGTATAATGCTGCCTTACATATTGATGGTTTTCACAGTGTGAAAACAACAAGTTCAAGTTTCCAGCCGCGAAGCATGTCTCATTTCGAAAATAGAGCAATTTGAACTTCCGAGTTTTCACAGTGGGTGACACCAAAATAGGAAGTGAACTCCATACAAAGTTCTACAAAGGTGCGTGAAATGTTTCGGCAAATAACTCAGAAACTGTGGGCCACAAAGACCTGAGATTTGGACAAATTGTTTATATATTAGTCTTCTTTAACATTTTATTTTATTGGCTTCTTCCACTGGACAGTTTCCAATTTATTCTTTTTGTGCCGTGTTTATTGTGTGACAGTGAAATCAGCAGATTAAGGTTGAATGTTATCATAGTATCTGTTACAGATTTGTTAATCTTTTTGTTTATTGATATATGCCGACTCGATATTCATAGTTTCCATAACTCCACTGCATTGCTTCCAGTTTTAGTTCGATACAAGAGGGAAATTGTTATGCTGATGAAGGGCGTTCGTGAGCTCAAACATGACGGGCTAAATATATTTTTCTTAGTAAATTAATTGTCAGTTACTGTGCTTTTGGCAATTAGTCATTTGATTTAGGTTACTTTGGGCAAAAGACATTGAAAGCTGTCATGAATGAGCTCCTGTAATCAAAACATCTTGTTTTAACTGACAGTGTTGCCTCGGGTCCAAATTTATTAGTATATTGCAATGCAAAACAACTTCCGTCATGCTTCAACTGACGACACGCTAAATGTACGTAGAAAAACTCTTGTGAAACAAGAGCAAGTCACTTACGTTTTTCTGTCTGCTTTAGCTTTGGGTATCTTGTTATGTCTTTGATGTCTTGGCCAATCTACAGAGAGTTACTTTAAGTCCTTGACATTCTCCTATATAAAAAAGTAGGATAATGTGTTCATGAGGCTCTAGAAATCCATCGCTGAAGCCCGGGGGGTGTGCTTCCTTATGTGCCCTATGCAGGGATACTTTGGTGTTCACCCATCTTAGTTTAACAGGAAACAAAATGCAAACTGCAGTGATAAACATAAGGAAATATAAACGCATTTTTGCGCCCAGAAACAGCCTGATATCCTCAGTACCGCGGAAACCTGACTAAAACATTCAGCCATTGTTCACAAAAAGGGGCTCTTCCTCGAACATATCTGCAAAAATCGACATCGTGTTGAACGGTTTCAAGGTTTCAACAACAAATGTAGCCTTTGTACCCGAAGCGCTAGAATACTTCAAGGACTGCTTTCTCGAATTGTCAGATCTTATATTCGCCCATAATAAAGAACGCTTTTCCACTGCAGATAGACGCCTAGCTTGTATACTTCTATAAAACAGATGTACTTACCATTTGCGATTTTGCGATTTCACTCAGAGGGCTTCTGCCTGAGTGACGTTCGAAGGGAAAGCACCGTGTCAAAACGAAAGCATTACGTCTGATTTTAATTTCATCAAATTACCGCCTTGAAGCCCACGCAGTCCATGGGTCATCGCTGAGGGTCAACTGAAGTATTTTGTTTGTGACTAAGAGGGAAGAATTACCATTGGGCCTTAAGATTATCACAATCCACAAAAAAAACTACTTACCTCCAAAATCCATGATAATCTTTGTATCCAAAAAAGACTTTCTTAGTGGTTTGTACATAAGATCCTCGCCACTATAAGCTAGAACAACAACGAGTGGATGACTGTTCGGTTTAGCTTTTTTCACATGCATACTCGTTCTTATCCCTGATTGGCTCATATGCATTCGCCTCAGCCTGGGACCGGGCTCCTTATGGCGGTTTTCAGTGAGTATGTCCCAGTAACAGAAGAGTAAAAGTAGAGATTTTAAGATACAGCCTTTTAAACTCTTATGATGCACTATACAGTGAAGGATCCAGACCTTGAGATAAGAGGGAGGAGGCGGGGAGTCATTCAGATCCTGAAATAAAATGGGGCCGTCTGAAAAAATTTTTTGTCGGCCCTTCGACGGACCTCAGTTTGGTCTAAAACTAAGGGGGAGTCCCGGGCCCCCCGGGTCCCTACCCTGGATCCGCCACTGCTATAGTAGAAGCCTGTATCTTACCCTCAAGAAACTATCAGGTAGAACGATAATATCATTACCCCAAGGACTACCACATCTGGGAAACTGCGTGGAAAACATGTTTGCAAACCCATACCCGATTGTAGAAACAGTGTACCTTTTAAAAGGTCCCCACGTTCCGATCAAAAGTAGACTGCGAGCAGTTTCTCTTTTAGCTTCTTTTACTCGAAAATCTATGAAGGAGTGCGATATGGCTATGCGAGCGGCCGGCGCGTTGTGCGGGCACCAGTTCGGGCTGCCAAATACTCACATATCATATTTCGAGCAAACGAGAGACTGCTCGCAGTCTAAATTAAAATGTAAAGTGCCGAATAGAGTACCGTACCAAAAAGAGTACGACGCATAAATTATGACAAATTATCAAATTCCTGATGTGGACGGAAACCACTTAAATGAGTAAAAAAATTAGACAACCCTAGATGATTGCAAGAATTAAACGCCTTAACTCTTTAAAGTTATACGTTTTGTTTCTTGTTTCCGTAAATACAGTTCGTGACTGGTTTCAAGGAACATCCATCCTATTCCCCTGATTCTTTGTAACGCTTAAAGCACTACAATGACATTTGATAACATGTTCACCCGCAGTGTGCGTAAGAAGAAATTTAACACGGCATCCAACTAGGCCAAATTTTAACGTCTGTCACACATTCTCTGCTTTATGCCAAACAAAATTATGGCTATCTCAGAATACGTAAAATTTTAATACAAATTAATTTCTACTTTCTTATAAAGATATGGCAAATGCGAAATGTAAGTACAAAGAACAGGAAAAATATTTTTTTTCCTTTTTTTCTTTATCAATTTCAGTCCAACAATTACGCAATCTTTCATAACGCGATTTACGTGCATGCCAAATGTAGTACAAGATGGAGAATGTGTCAAGCCAGTTAAATTTTTATATCAAACTAATAAAAAAAAAAAAAAATGCGCGTTCTAAAGTAACTTTTCTGCTACGTGCGTAATACGGCGAAGCGATGTTAAAAAAACTGTACGCTCTTTACCCTTAACATGATGCGTGCCAAATAGAGTACGAGAGAAAAAATGCTGTAACTTAAATATTCCAAACCTGATGTAAGGAAAACTGTACGCTGTTTATCCCTAACATGATGCGTGTCGAATAGAGTACGAGAGAGAGTGGCCGGCGCGTTGTGCGGACACCAGTTCGGGCTGCCAGATACTCACATATCATATTTTGGCACGGTACTCTATTCGGCACTTTACACCAGCCCACGGCCTGGCAAGTACCTCGCACATGCGCACAGCCATATCACCCGGGTAGTGCCAGTCACTCCACAAGGACTGGTAGGTATATAAAATATGTTCGGTAGCCGTTTTGAGTGTCGTCACGCAACCCTCCTCCCCAGATTTTTTTGTTTCAATTCTTAACGGGTCTACCGCAGCAGCACCACATAATTCTTTTGAAACTACAGTAATGGCCGATTTCTTGAAACCTCGGTTTTTCAAATTTCCCGATAATTCCGCAACCGAACGTAACTTCCCTTCGCCAGTCGACAAACATTGTAACTTTGATTTTTAATGTATTTAACCGTAGCAGATACTGAATTCGAACCAATTTGCTTAACCCAAGGTGGTTCGAAAATCGGTTTTCCACCGTATACTTTACGAGTCCCTAACTCACTATGCGAATGTTTGTTAAAACATTAACGGTATATATCGTTTAATGAGGCGACTTACAGGGTTTCATACAAGAACATGCAAAACGGTTTCAAACCAAGTCCTTACAATGAAGGTTAAGACAGGATCGCAAACTTTAAACGACACTGGAGCACAAAATCAACAAGGATAAAAGAATTTCATTTCATTTCTACACAATAAGCTGTGATAGGACGAATTTATTGAGAAAAATAAAACTGCGTCCATAATCGCTTCTTTACGCGATAATGCCAGCTGTGTTATTTTTAAACAAGCGCTCAAAAAGGGAAGAAGGACTGTTGGGTATATAAAATATGTTCGGTACATTATAATTGACCGTACATGACGGTCCTACCGTAGAACTGCCATATTCAAGTCTGATCGCAGGTTAACTATGTCCCTTCACTGAATACTTTCAATATTCAGAGGTCGTATATGTGTAGAATAATCAGAATATTATGCTAACAAAGAGGCAGAAATACATTACCTATAGCGAAAGCATTTCATTTGTGTAAGTAGCAAAGACCTCTCGTGTTAGCATAACATGACATAACCGAAGTCAGCTGCGTAGCACTGAGACGCTTAACAGTAATATGTGCGCAAGAAAGACCGGATGACGCAGAGCGCCAGGGAGACCACAGTTCTTCCAGGCACCTTATTAGGTCATGAAAATTAACAGTCTTCGTTTATTGTAATCATCCATAAAGGTTTGAATAAAAATTACCCTTTTACGACTTTTTGTTTGATTAAGAAACAATAGCCTTTTGACACATCTCCTTTGCAAAGGTCTCAATGCACAAATCCCATGTTATTTTCTGCCATTCTCTTCTTGGGATAAAGCAAGTGTTGTTTCCATCCATTGATCGCCAGACGCTGGCACCGATAATGATATTTCTGCTGCAGGTTGTTATAAAAGAAGATTGAAGATTAGGTATGTTTGATATTTGCCAATCGCTTTTATATTATGAAAGGTGAAAGTATAGTTAGTGTCATTGCTTTTCAGTATAATTCCATTTAATCTCGGGAGAATTTTTTGTGTCAGAAGAAGTTCGTGAAACACACATCACACTGAAATCATAACATAAAGGTCATGAGTAGGTTAGATGTTGTATTAATAAAGTTAAAATGTTTCTTATCCAGGATGAGCCAAAGCGTCAATAACTGTAATCATTCCTTAGTTGTTATGAAAGGATATTGAAATAAGAATCAAGAAAGTTTGTTATAAAAGTTCGAGTAATTGTTTCTACTGAAGGTTTAACCAAAGATAAGAAGTCTAACAACTAATACTTTGTCAGAGAACATCGTCACTTTTTAGGTGGTCTTTAATTATTTTGGCAGCCTGTATAAATTGTAATAGACGTAAACAACTTCTCATGAACTCCTACAGCAACATCTACAAACCGAAAAGTGTGTTCACCCTTCTCGAAACGGTAATTCAGGAGGTATTATGTAACTGAATTCTAATTCACTCTAGATTGACTAGATTCTGAGGACAAAGTCCTATAGAGTAACCACCATTCAAATGGAACCTCTTCAGCAGTACTTCCATATAGTATGATGTATAAGCCACATGATTATTGAAATGAATCGTTGTGTTGTTACCTTTCAAAGAAACCTCTTGAGGAGAAGATTAGTTTAGGTGACATTTTTCATTAACAGTACAAACTGCACCTCGCTTTCGGAGTAGGCAATGGATAAAATCTCGAAGTGTTAACATTCTAAAGAAAGCTCTTCATCTTTTAATAAATAATTAACCTTTAAATTTTCCAATATATTTTCCGTTTTTTACAGCACGAATCTTGGAAATTTTCTTTCATTTTGATGATGAGAACTACTAGGGGTAAAATAGTTGACCTTGTCGTTTGTTTCTAACCAGACGACAGCATGACAAGCACGAACAAGAATAAAGAAATGAAAGATAAGAGGGCTGACAGCATTGAAGCTGTTCAAGAGGCAAATGAACAGCCCAGTCTCCCTTCCATTTACTCCATAGCAGCCGCTCATTCTTTGTCAAAAGACCTAAAACAAAAGTCCCTGCACTTAATAAAAGTCAAAAGAAGACATGGAGACTATGGGCAATTCGATCTAACACACGCTTGGTCACCGGAAGATTTGATGGATGACCTAGGAAGTCGCTATGGGAGTGGACGGTCAAGAGATAGTACATTGGCTGATGAGAGTCTAGCTCTGGCACGACCGTTTGTTATGGAACCTTTGAGGACATTTCAGGTAGCAGATTGAGATAAAATTCTCTTTTGTTCTATTTTCCTAGAATTGGACTGCACAGCCCGCAATTTTGCTGGCTAAAGTATTCCCTGTCTATAAGGCCATGGCTAATTGATGGAAAGAGTAAAGTCCGCGCGTAAATCAATAAATAATTGACAAATGTCACCAGAAGGTGTTCTGAACTACCGGTAAGCTGAATAAAATGCCAAAAAGATTTTATGGGACAATTATCCGCTCAGTTATCTACTTTTATTATTTAGGTCCTCAAGTACCTGTCGGCGATAGCAATTTTGAGTTTGCCATCAAACTGTCAAATGTATAAAGTTTATGTTAAAACATAAGCTAAGTTTGCAAAAATATTGTGAGATCCTCCGTGTTTTGTACATAGCTAAGTACTTTGACCGGTCAGGAATTGTTTGAGCACCGTGTAAACAATCTGAGTTTCTCATTGGACATTATGGGTGGCGAAAAAGGAATCCTCAATAACTACTCAGCCCGACAAATTTCGGTTTTTGCCAGAGGGAAGTGATCAGTAGTTTGGAAGTTTTAGCCACGACCACAGCCATTGGTTAATATAAAGGTCCATTTAGTCAAGAGAAGATTATTCACTCCCTTTTGTCATGTTCCGATACTTTCAATAGGTCCTGAACTTTTAATTAATGGTCATATTATTTGCTCAATGTTTTTTCTTTCCGATTTTCTCCCAGGAACACAAGGTCAAACCAATCATTCAACATGTGCTGGAAACTAACTTGGCAGAACAAAAGTATGACCCAGTCTTTTGCAGAAATGCTGCAGTCACGATGGCCGAGGTTATAAAGGAAAGAGTGAAAAAACTTTGTTATCCGCGATATAAATTCGTGTGTCACGTGGTCGTGGGAGAAGTTAACCAACACGATGTGAAAGTTGTGAGCCGGTGCGCATGGGACTCAGCGGTGGATCGTTTTGCGCAGTATCAGTATAGCAACTATTATCTGTATGCCGTGGGGATTGTTTATGCAGTTTACTGTGAATAATTGAGCTTTTATCTTGCACAAGTGTAGTCATGAATACAGACAAAATGAACAATGTATTTGACAAAAACAAAGAATTCTGTTATTAACTTAAATGGGCTCTACGACAACGGACGTAAGGCTGGCAAAAAAAGTGTTTTTACCTGCTATGCCATTGAGGTTTTCATTGACGACAGAGGCGAGAATTTTGACAGGGTGGAGAATGGCCAACGAAGCTTCTAGCCTAAATTCCGCTCTCTTGAGGACTTTTTCGTTGATTGCCTTGTTTTTTAGTAGAGAAGGAAAGGGAATAAATGCACTAGATCAAATTTATGTTTGCCCATGTTTTAATTTTCCAAATTGTGACGTCTGCATGGAGTGCCGGGTGGTCAATTCCACCAGCCAAATCCAGGTCTTGTTATGATTAGATGAACGCCCTCTACAATAGTGTGCCATTATCGGCGTGTTGTCAGCTTTATAAGGCCCATGCAAGGAAACTCAGATGTCCATTGGCGTTCATTGTTCAAAACCAGCTAACTCGCTCTTACAAATCTTAACATTGACGCAGTCTTTCTGTTTATCTGCTAACGAATTTCACTGTTTAACAGCTTCAGTCAACGTTTGAACGTCTGTTACTTCTCCGAACTTACCCAAACCTAAAGCTATCGCACATAACACAAGCTAAAGAAAGGCATCGTTAAATTGACTGTCAATAGCATCGGCGCTTACTACACCGCTTCTCAGGTTTTTTCCGCTTCTCACACTAAAAAATACCTGATAGATGGAGTTTAAATGACCGTATGACTTTTAAATTTAGCAAACTTGCGACCACGCTTACTCGGTGAAGTAGTTAAATATTGCCCTCTCTCTTTTTTATTTGTGTGCGTGTTTGCGCTTTTTAAGAGCCGTAGGAACTTGGCCAACTCTCGTCGTCTTTACTTCACGGTTTGTCAATACCGCATGTTTTTTTTACTATTGATGGAATCTTTTCTGACTTAATTGCTGTTTTTATTGCTTCATAAATGACATTAAAATTCGAAATTGACGAAAACGACTTCATGCCAAATAAAGATAAATTGACAAACTTAAAAACCTTGTTAAAGTTTGTAGGTGTGAAATTTTCTGCTCTTTGTAAGCAAGACTTGAAGGAATATAACAGCATTCACAACTGAATGCAAACGTTTTGTCTGACAAAAGCGTAACTAACGCGCGAGCCATACCTCATTTAAACCAATGACATTATGAATTTTTACAAGTTTAAACTTTGAAATAAACACGCTTAGTAAACATGTCTTCGTGAACTCGTTACTAGAACTTTTAAAGCAGAACACTCTAACGCTAATAAAAAGGGTTGTGTCAACATGTTACATGTGCGGGGATGAAAAAAAAAACATTAGAGACAAAAAATACGATTTTCTCATTTGTTTCCTAGCTGAGGGTGGTAGCAACGTACTCAATGCTATCAGTCTTTGGTGAACTTGAAGCAGCTCATGTCTTAGGCTGTATCCACAAGGGAGATTGCGAAGTTGACTGTTCGAGCGCTAAAACTCAGTGAGAAGAGGAGAATATACAAGGCTTTTATGCCATTTTATGTTCTATTCCTAAGAACAATTCCGTCTGACAAAGGGAATAGCGTGTTAGCTTCAGGTTTCCAATCTCTCTACCTTATCAAATAAACGAACTAAACCAAAGGTTTGTTTTTCACACCTCCAGCGAGGATCAATGTATACATGTAAACACAGAAGTCTCTATAGAAATCTTCTATCTTTTATGGCCACACGAATCGGTAAACACAACCGCATAAATATCGTTCTGGGCATGCATACTTGTTCAAAAAAGCTACATAGCTCTAACCACTGGATTATTGGCTATTCGCTTTAAAGGATTATGGTATCCAATTACGTTATCCACCTGATAATGTATTTGTTAAGAAGATAACACTATCCATCTTTTAAATAGTTGGGGCCCGGAGTGGAACATTGTAGGCACATTACTGGTTTGTAGACATATCACCTAGAAACCCGGAATAAGTCCATCATTTGCATATTTCTTGACCAATGAACGGACTTTTCCCATAACACTTATTTCCCTTTCGTTCTGTTTTCAACCAATCAAATTTTAAGGCGTACCGATTAATGGCAAGCGTAATCAAGTAATCTCTCCTTCCGATCACACACCTTCATACCGTACACATCGCTTGACATGCAGTGGATATTCGTAACGTTTAAGGTAAGTACCTTTTCATCATATGTTTTTCCGTCTTCACGCTTTGTTTAGCTCTAGTAACTGTTGGCCTACTTGTTCCCTTGCCGGAGTTGATTGATCTTGAATATGCCATTACCTCGCCCTGTCAGACGTTATCTTATTCGCGTTAGTGTACTTTGCCATGTCTTTACCCAGTACTTTTGTGACTGCATCTTATTTTATGATGTTTCTGCCGTTGTCTTATAAGTCAAACGCCTTGTTGATAATTCAGTTCGATAGATTTGATTTTTGCAGTTTGTTCGTGTATTTCCTGTTGTTAACCTGAGAGGTGAGGGTAACATATTACCTTGGTTCTTATCATCATGTTTTTGCTTTTTATTCTCATGAACCAACTTTTAGAGTTATTTTTGCATATGTAACTTCCCGTATTTTTAAACTATTCCAATCATCGTAGGGGCTAGGCACTAATTTTCTTTGTTTTGTTTTGCTACTACTCGACCAATCCCAGGCTCTTTTTTGCATTTTATTTTTGCTATGTCATTGCTTTGAACGAAAAAGATGGGGAAGAAAGGGATTAATCTTTTTCACGAAAATGATAGATAACTGCCTATGTTTCCTTTTGCTGCTATCCGACCATTAGTTTCATTTTACATGGCTCATGTAATGACTTCATAAAGTGACAGCCGTCATTAGTTTTCCTGTTTAGGGATTTTGAAGTTAAAAAAAACATTGATAGTGATATATTTCTCTTTAAGTGGAGGGATTGCCCTCAGTTTTTCTCTACCATGGCTGCTAAAACAAAACGGCTTTTTTAGAAACCAACTCTCTTATCGATTTTCTGTTTTTTATTTCTTGTTTAGTTCTCTGCGTAGTCACCATCACCTACAGCCTGGTCTCTTATAGTCCATGTTAGCTATACATCACTACGAGGTTTTACGGACAAAATTGCAACATTTTCACGATTCCATTGTCTCCTAATTGCCAGAAGAGACTGACAAACAAAGAAGACCAAATAAAATCAGGAGCGGATCCAGAAATTCAGAAAGGGGTGGCCGGGACACCTGCCAGCAATATGGATACTTTTTATTTTTCTGAGAATTCTGCAGATATAATAGAAAACATCACAAAAACGGGAGTGGGGTGCGGGGGTGCGTGGTGGGGGGTGCGTGGTCCTTGCGCTCGGCCTCAACCCTAAATCCGCCAATGCAAAGAAATATAACAAGAAAGCCTCGTAGTCATATATCGAACGCGGGTCGTTTACAGAGTGAAGAGCAACGCACATATTTAATTTTGATGCACACGCAACTGTGAAATGCACTGGGTCATTTTTCCAGTTTGTGAATGTTTGACTCATTGCTTGATCCTAGAAGGGAAATATAGTCACCCAGTAAGGTGTGTAGGTGAGCTCAAGACATAAAAATATCATTAACGTTAACCGTCTATTTTAGCGGTGTGCAGTCGTTCTAAGGCTTTGTTATCGTCACCATTGTAATAAAACTAACTGCCCCTCCAACAGTTTCTTGGCTTCTTTTCTTTTTGGCTCTTTGCACTGATATTTGAAATCCCGATAGTTACTTCGTGGTACGTGAAGAGAAAATCGACTCTCAATTTTGTATCAGGGTGTGGTCTTATGAGAAGGACATACTCCCGGCATTTCTCTCTACAGTGCTTGCCTTAGTTGTTATTTCCACTACATTGATGTTTGCTTTATACTTCCGAGTGGTGTATATTTTGTGGTTCAGGCAAAATAACGATGCTAAACTCTCGCATCAAAAGAGGGTATGTGTTTTACTCTGGTATGATGTACTTTGAATATTGTCTTTATTTACCTATTTACTTGCTTAACTCACTCGTCTCATGAAAAGATCGACGTGAAATGCTCGTTTCTATCTATTGTTAACAAGCATGCTCCCTTGAGGACAATGCGTGTTCGCACGCGTAGTTCCCCATGGATTACATCTGAGCTTAAGAAACGAATGCATGATCGGGATATTCTAAAGATTAAAGCAAGTAAATCGAATGATTCAAATGACTGGTCACTTTTTAAAAAACAACGCAATATAGTAAATAGCGAAATCAGATTAGCCAAGCAAGCCTATTATCAAAATAGTTTTAACAAGCATACGAGCGATTCTAAAAAGACCTAGCAGACTATCAATGAACTTACTTCGCGAAAATCTGGGAAAAAATCGGTGACATCTCGGAAAGTAAATGGAGTATGAATAACAAATCCAACTGTGCTGTCCAACCAATTTAATAATCACTTTGCTACTATCGGTCCAGAACTTGCTAGCAATATTGATTCCTCAAATAGTGATGGTTATCAAAAGTACCTCACTGGCACAGATAAACGGTTTCAGCTCCATCCGACCAGTACAAATAAAGTTCTCTCACTTTTGAATCGTCTAAATAAGTCAAAGGCAGCTGGCCTTGACAAGATATCTGCTAGGCTCATTCGGGAATGTGCAGATCTCATTTGCATTCCTATCCAGTCAATAAGTCAAGGCATATTTCCGGATGACTGGAAATGCGCAAAGGTCACCCCACTTTTTAAACAAGGCGATCGGGACGACTTAAACAATTATCGTCCAATTTCGGTGATCTCAGTTATGGCCAAGGTCTTTGAAAGAATCGTCTATGATCAATTATATGCCTACCTAGAAGAGCACAATATAATCTGTAAATATCAATCAGGCTTTCGCGCTATTCACTCAACTGTCACGGCTCTCCTTGAGGCCACGGACACTTGGGCGTACAATATTGACCGCGGTAAAATCAACGCCGTTGTTTTCTTAGATCTCAAAAAGGCCTTCGACACA